GTGCGTTCCCGTCGGGGCGAGACGCGCGGCGCGAGCCGGCCCGTTGGCCGCTGGAGAGAGGTGGGAGCTGGAGAGGGCCGAGGGGGCCCCTGGGGTCTGAGGCCCCGGGAAGGGTCACGCTGAGTGCACGGCTGCGTGTTGCCTCTGTCCTTCCGTTACACGCCTGGCCTCTCGTCAGGCTCACGTCACCTCCTCGGAGAGGCCTTCCCTGACCGGCCCCGAAGGAGCCCCTTACAGCCGGCCCCGTCGTTGCTGTAGCGCGCACTCCCCGTGTTCGGATCCCCGTGTTCGGACCCCCGTGATCGGAGACCGCCGGCGCCGGCAGTGTGCTGTGGGCCGGGTGTGCAGCTAGGGGAGCCCAGCCGCGTCCGCCCTGGGGAGCTAGCGCTGTGGTGGGGAACAGGGTGCTGTGCGCAGCCGCGGTGGGGTCCGAGGACAGCGTGTCCAGTTGGGCAGGGAAACCTCTGAGGGAGGGGACTTTGGAAAGGTACCTGACAGTGAGACATTTTTGCCCTAGGTTGCGTGCGCTCGCTGGAGAGACAGAAAGTGAGGAGGCACCCCTCGGATGGCCATGCTGCCATCCCTTCTCCGTTCTCTCGGGATCTTGAGTGCGGGCGCGTGCACACGCGGTGTGAGTTTTAAGCCACCTTGTCTGGGACTCGACCCACTTTGGACCACGTGGGAGTCCAGCCACATACTCATTAGCCATCTGGGGGTCCCGACTGTTTTACTGACATTACTTATAAAATCCGCCCATTTACATTGGGTGTTCTCATGGTTTGGGGACATTTTATACGGCGCGTGAACATCACAGTGCGGTTGTAGAACATTCCCACCACCCCAGAAGGTTCTGAGGAGGCAGCCTTTTTTTTTTTTTTTTTGCTATAGGGCACAGAGACAGGAAGCGAGAAATCACCCCCCAGGGGGGATGGGCACGCACGCCCACGCGCCCGGCGTGAGTTTTAAGCCACCGGGTCCGGGACACGAACCGCGGTCGACTACGTGGGAGTCCAGTGACATAGCCATTACGCTAACTGCTGGTCCCGAGGAGACAGCTTTTGAAGTGAGGGCTGAAGATTGAAGTGGAGGCAGCTAAGGGTTTGGGGGAAGGGACCCGGGGCCAAAGGAGCAGCATGGGGGTCTCCCAGGAGGCCGGAGCTGGCTATGTCACTGGCAGCCTGGAGGGCAGGCAGGCAGGGTCTGCATCCACCTGTGCCTTCTGAACCCTAGGCTTCCCCGTGCCAAACTTAGCATGTGTCCACACTGGCTGATTAGTATTTTAATCACCTCTGCTGCGTGTCCTGTAAACTGGGCCCTAATGGCAGGAATGTTCTCTCCCATCTCGAAAGTCATAGAGTGCCGGAACACAAGTGGCACCAAGAACCTTCAAGGTTTCGGGGACTGCGTGCGCAGCCTCAGTGTGTTCTCCTGCCTCTGCTGGGAGGATAGTAGTGTCCTTTTACAGGGAGAAAGAGCTCGGTCCTGGCCCAGAGCCACGGAGCTAGCTCCTGGACCGAGGCGCAGTTAACTGGTGATGTGGTGCGTCCCTCTGCGCTCTGAGAGCAGAGGTGTGGCCTGCGAGCACCTCCTCTCACGGTGTCCTCACAGCTCGTGCTCCAACCTGTTACGCCTGGACTTGCCTATTTTTCATGGAATTAGGGACGTTCACATGCCTTCCTGAGATTCCTTCCCGTGTCTGCATTCTTCTCGTCTGGCTGAGGGCTATGGCACTCCGCTCTCAGGCTCCTGTGAGCAGGTGACTGACATGGTCGATTTCTTAGCAGAACTGTAATGTGGCTTGAGTCAGCAGGGCGTTGTGTGACACATAGACTGTCTCCTTGGACAGAAGGAGGAAAAGGTGGGTTACTGTGCCCTGTGCACTGACTGCATTTTCTACATAATCTGTGTTGATCCTGGGACAACTCTGGAGAAGGTGTTAATGCAGAGCAGGAAGATGAGGTCTGGTGGGATGAGGGTCCCAGCCCCGGTGAGTGGCAGAGGCCCCGTTCTAACTGGTGTGCCTGCTTGACCTGGATGTCCAGGAAGAAACTTGCAGTGAGGCGGCTGATTGCTGGGTACATCCCAGAACATGATGGCTAGACCCTTTGGTACGCAGCAGAGCAAAGAGGTGAAACTTCCATAAAGAAATTGCTGAGCTGTTGCCAAAAGTGGTTTTATAGGCAGTCAACCCAGAAATAACTGACCTAACCCAGAGTGCAGGAACTCCTTTTTTTTTTTTTTCTTTCAAAAAAGGGGGGGATTATTTAATTTTATTTATTCATTAATTTTATTTTAATTTGACCAGAGAGAGACAGAGAAAAAGTGAGAAAGCAAGCCGCCATGTCCCGGACTTGAACTGTGGTCAGTCATGTGGGAGTGTCCAGCACCTTAACCACCACGCCACCTGCTGGTCCCTGGAGTGCAGGAATTTGTAAGAACAACCTGAACTATATTTTTAAAGAATTATTTGTTATTTAATTCATTTATTGTTATTAATATTTTTAAATTTGCTATAGGGCATGTGCACTCAACAGAGACAGACAGGCAGAGAGGGTGTAGACATGAGAAAGCAAACTGCCAGTCTGGGACTCAGCCACAGTGGACCATGTGGGAGTCCAGAGCCTTCACCACCACACCACCTGCTGGCCCTGAAACTGAACTATTGACAGTGTCTAACATGTGAAGACTGAAGCGGTTTATCTCCTAGCTGGGTGCTAAGAATACTCTCTGGAATGTGTTGATACTGATTCTTTGATGGTGACAAAGGGACCACCCTGATGTAAGATGCTAACGATAGGGAAACTGGGTATGGAGCTTACGGGGATTCTTGTATCTTTACAGTTTTTGTAAATCTAGAATTAGTCTAAAGTAGAAAGTGTGTTGTTGTTGTTGTTTACTTAGTCCCCGAGTGAAACATAGACAAGAGAGACAGAGACCTAGCACTCCTGCTGGGGTCTTGACACTGTCACCATGCAGAAGCCTCAGCCAGTCTGGGTCACAGGCACCTGCTAGCCCAGCTTACCAGGGAGTCACCAACCGGCAACTTTCCCACATGGGCCAGCCTTGGGGTTTGGAGGGGAGGGAACTGGCAGCTGAAGGAACTGCTACCCTGAATGTCCCTAGGCAGGGAGCAGCATGCCGTGCACTGGCAGAAAGGTGGCGGCAACAAGAGGGAGAGCGTCACGTGTCCCTGCTCAGCCCTGGAGAACTGGTTGATCTTTTAGGTTTTGGGCATAGGGCACATGCATTCACCAAAGAAGGAAAGTGGGAATTCATCCCCACAGAGGGATGGCCACCCCACAATCCCTTCATTCTCCCAGGATTTGGGGCTCACACACACTCGTATGTTCTTGGCATGTTTCTCAAGGTACCAGGTCTGGGACTTGAATCGTGTTCGGCTATGGGAGTCCAGCACCTTAACCACCATGCCACATGCTGGCCCCAGAACATTTATTTTTTAAAAAGCACCCTCCTTCTCCCGTATGTAGAACTCTTCTGAAAAGAGAAGCCTAGCACCAAGCCATTTAGAGTAGTTCCCTTCTCTGGCTTAATTACCTTTTTATCGTTTCTCAGTGACATTTGTTACTTAGGAAAGGACCTGCCCTTGACATTTTTCTTTCTTTTTTGTTTAAGGGCCAGAATGAGTCTGTTTGGAACGACCTCGGGTTTTGGAACTGGTGGGACCAGCATGTTCGGCAGCACCACCACGGATAATCACAACCCCATGAAGGTACCGTGTACAGCTCTGGGGGTTTGTAGAAAATGGTCAGGCCGAGCGTTCCCACGTCACTGACAGCAGGAGAAAGAGAGACTAAGCTTAAGATCCTTATTTTTTTTTTTAAGAGAGATTTTTGCTATAGGGCCCATGTGCTTGCCAGAGAGAGACAGAGACAGAAAGTGAGAAATCACACACATACACACACACACACACACACACACACACCCCGGAATGATCATGCCTTCTCTATTTTCTTGGGGATTTCGGGCACGCACATGCGCCTGGCATGACTTTTACGTCACCAAGTCCGGGACCCGCGGTTGACTACGTGGGTAACCATTATGCTTCCTGCTGGCCCCAAGAGCCAGTTTTAAGGAAAGTTCCAAAGTTTTGTCTGGCCCAGTTTTCTTGGACACTGCAGCCCAGAACGTGGGTCTCCTGGGCTGGCATCCAGTTCACCTGATTTGCCAGTCTCTGGAATTGCCTGAGGTACTTGGTAAAATTGCAGGTTGCTGGGCCCAGCTGTGGCCTGTCGAGGGGAGGGCTGGGGATGGCTACAGTTAGGTGCCCAGGGCAGGAGTGAGCTGGCGGGCTACCATTTGGCAAACGTGGCTGTGGCCGTTTCGGTCGAGTCCGCTCCTGGTCCCAGCGCCAGTGCTTCCTGTGGCTTTGTAGTCCCCTGTTTGGTCAAAGGAAGGTGGGGCCTGACTCAGCAGGGTACGAAGGCCGCTGCAGGGGCTGCTGTGGAATTGTGGTGATGCGCGCGCTTTAACATTGATTCTCCTGCAGGATATTGAAGTCACGTCTTCTCCTGATGACAGCATCGGCTGTCTGTCTTTTAGCCCACCAACTTTGCCTGGGAACTTTCTGATCGCAGGGTCGTGGGCTAACGATGTAAGTGCTCCGTAAGTGCATGTTCTACTGTGTGAACCCTACTTCTCTGTAAGGGCCAAGCTAGCTTTTCCTTTAGTGCTATTTAACCGCAAGTAAATGAATCCAAGTTATGCCTATTCTTGGCCTTTTTTTTTAAAACCATTTTGCCAGAGAGCATGTGCACTCCTCATGGGGGGTGGTGTTGCTGCAGTCCCTTCTCTGTTTCTCCCTCTCAAGGTTCCAGCCCCACATGTACACACACTAGTGTCTTTCTAGCTGCTGTTTCTTTCTCTCTTTTTTTGGAGAGGTTTTTGCTACAGGGCGCGTGTGCTTGCCAGGAAGAGACAGAGACAGACAGAAAGACAGAAAGCGAGAAGTCACTCCCCAGGGGGGGGAGGCCACGTTGCAATCCCTTCTCCTCTCAGGATCTTGGGCACGCACACACGCGCCCAGCGCGAGTTTAAGCCACCGGGTCTAGGACTTGAACCACGGTCGACTACATGGGAGATCAGTGACATAGCCATTACTCTAACTGCTGGTCTCTCTAGCTGCTGTTTTTAAGCTGCCGAGTCCAGGACTCAAACTGTGGGGTTGGCCATGTGGGATCCAGCCAAACCACCAGGCCACTGGCTGTCCCTATGACCATTTTTAAGAAACCCATTTAGGAGATATGAGCCCTTCTGAATGGCAGACAACACTTGTTCTTACGTGAATTTTCGTTACGAGAGTACAATCATATGCATTGCTCAAAAATTCCTATTCTAGGGGCCAGCAGGCAGCATGGTGGTTAAGGCACTGGATTCCCACATGGCCGACCCCAGTTCAAGTCCTGGACCCGGAGGTTTGAAAATCAGGCCAGATGCATGTGCATGTGTACCCAAAATCCCCACAAGAGAAGAGATTTTGGTGTGGCCATTCCCCCACCCCAGTGGGTGATTTCTTTCTTTCCCTCTCTATCTCTTTCAGGCGAGTACATGTGCCTTATGGCAAAAACCTTCAAAAAAAAAATTCCTGTTCTAGTTCAGTGTCTTAAAATGTATTTCCAGACCAAATGTAATGTTCAGTGAGAGTGAATACCTCCCTGATATGGTATACGTAGATGTCCCTTCTCGCCATCCTGGAGATGCTTTGGAGGTGTATGTGAACTTTTTAACTCTCAGCCACAAGTCCTGCGTAGACATTATACTCAGTTATAGCATACAAGAAGGAAAAAAGTCACAGTGTACAGAAAATAGAGATAAAAGCTGGCAGGAGAAGCAAAGGATTTGAAGAGACGCTTCACAGAAGCCGTCTGTACCTGTCGTCTCACTCCTCTCCTGGGACTTGGGGAAATCCAGCAATCTACTTTATATTTGGTGTATGAATTAATCTTGGCACGGCTAAAGTACTGTGTACTCATTGTCACTTCTGTTTTGTGAATTAGGTTGCTGAGCTTAGGGAAGTACATAACTGGCCTCAGGACACGCACCCAAGTGAGTGCCAGGGCCAGGCACAGAATTGCCCGGCCCCTGCTCCTAGCTGTGGCTGCTACTGCCTCTTAGGAAAAAATGTCTTCATGCTAGTGAAACTCGCCCTGTGATAGCCAGTATAATGGTGGCCTATGGTCTATGGTGTCACTGTGAAGATTTCTGGAAAAGGTTTCAAACAGACTGCAGCAGGGAAGCAGAGGGTGGGAGGATGGAGGGAGGATGGGGGCACCTGCCTGAGCATGTTTACATCTTACATGGAATTCTGGAGATTTCAGTTGATTCAGGGCTGAGACGCGTTGGAATGGTATTTAAAGATGAGTAGGCTAATGAGAGGCCGGTGAGAAGCTGCAGTTGCCAACATGTGTACACAGGGGACCAGGAGCCCACCCGTTTGCCGGTGGTGAGATGGGAGGGTATTTTCTTGTCATATTTATGAAGTCTTATCTTAAGTGTGTTACTTTATAAGAGTAGAAAGGTAAGTTTCCACTTTGGTCTTGATTCTCTGAGAGGGGGGGAGTCAGTCATTAGCCACATCAGAAGACAGGCCCTAGGTGAGATGAGAAAATTATCCGCAGTTTAGGTGCAGAAGAATTTGTTTGCTTTAGAGGCAGGAGTACAAAAACAGCTGTTTACATACACATTTTGTTGGCTGTGTTCTTAATTGAGATAATCGGACCGGTGAAGTCCGGGTGTAGATGAAGCACCCCCGGAGCGGCAGTGCCTCGTGTCTGCCTTTCCACTCATGAGTCTCGTCGTTGCAGGTTCGCTGCTGGGAGGTGCAGGACAGCGGCCAGACCATCCCCAAAGCCCAGCAGATGCACACCGGGCCCGTGCTGGACGTCTGCTGGAGTGACGTAGGTTCCCTTCCTTTTCTCACGCCCTCTCCTGCTCTGAGTGCAGCGTAGTGCAGGTATCCAGTAACCGAGCCCGACCCTGAGTCCACGCTGCAGGGACCCTAAGTTTCCGAGTGTACATGCGGTAGTTTATTGATGTTTCTAACACTAGCTTTAGATGTCTCTCTGAAAGCTTTTTTTAAATAAAAATCCCATTATTTTATTGACATGCTATCTTGAGCAAGGGATTAGATAATTTCTTGAAGCTTTTCCAATTTCTAAAATATATTGTGAGCTTATGTTATTTAAATTAGAAAGGTATCTATCCCAGAAAATCCTTGAAGGAAAAAAGACTGAATGTGTTTCTGTTATCAGACCTCGAGTGTTTTTATCTCCCCCTCTGGAATTCTCTTTATCTACCTCAGATTCTGAGCATTCACAATGGGAGCAAACGCGTTGTAGTGTATTTTGTATGCCGCTAGTTTTCTTCCTGTTTGTGATCGGGGAGAGTTGAGTGCCAAAGGGACCCACTTAGGAAGAAATCACCGGGGAGGTGAGGCATCTGTGGGAGGCTCAGCAGGTGGGGTGAAGGAGCTGCTGCTGCATGGCCCCCCAGCTCGGTAGCACCTGCCAGCCTCAGCCTGCAGAGGAGCATGGGGGTCAGCGCCCCAGCCACCCAACTCTGCGGCCACACTGCCTGGTGGCTGAGGTTGACCGAAGCAGGAGTACACGGGCCTGCTAGTCAGGCAGGTGTCCAGCCATGCTGAGAAGCCGAACCTAGGTCTTTCCAAGCCGCTGTACATGTTTTTCATTTAGTCAGATTCATTAGGTATGATTTTTAATCAAATGGAGCCTTTTTCTGTGTACATCTCTGGGTTTCAGGAAACACATAGGTTGTGTTTAGGACGTAGATCAGAACTCTCAGCCTCAAAGTCTCTCCTTTCTTTTTTTTTTTTTTGAGAGGTTTTTGTGATAGGGCGCGTGCGCTCGCCAGACCGACAGAGAGAGACAGAAAGCGAGAAATCACCCCCCAGGGGCAATGGCCACGCCGCAGTCCCTTCTCCTCCATTCTCTTCTTGGGATCTTGGGCACGCACACACACGTGCCTGGCGTGAGTTTTAAGCCACTGGGTCCGGGACTCGAACCGCGGTCGACTACGTGGGAGTCCAGCAACATATCCATTATGCTAACTGCTGGTCTCTCTCCTGCTTTCTTGTAATCAAATCTGATCCTCCCGGGACCAGCAGATGGCATAATGGTTACATCACTGGACTCCCACATAGTTGACTGCACTTCGAGTCCCGGACCTGAATTGAAACTCGTGCTGGGCACGTGTATATGTGTGACCAAGATCCTGAGAGGAGAATGGAGGATCAGGGGGGCCAGCAGTTGGTGTAATGGCTATGTCGCTGGACTCCCATGTAATTGCAGTTCGAGTCCCAGACCCAGTGGCTTAAACTCACGCCGGAAGTGTGTGTGTGTGTGTGTGTGTGTGTGTGCCCAAGATCTCCAGAGGAGTGGAGAAGGGATTGCAGCATGGCCATCCCCTCTGGGGGGTAATTTCTTGCTTTCATTTCTTTGTCTCTCTTTCTGGCGAGCACACGCGCCCCATAGCAAAAGCCTCTCAAGAACAAAAAAATCAGATCTTTTCACCTCCTCACCCTGAAAACCACCGATCTATTTCCTGTTCCTGTACTTTCGCTTTCACAAGAATGCCATATAAATGGAATTCTGTGTACGTGAAGTTTGTTTTTCAATTGTGATAGATTGTGCGCTTGCCAGAGAGAGAGAGAGAGAGAGAGAGAGCGAGCGAGCACCCATCAGTGGGCTTGGTCACGTCACATGGGTGCACATATTCAGGATGGTTTTCAAGCCACTGGGGCTGGGATTCAAACCATGGTCACCCGTGTGGGGTCCAGGTCCCTCTGCATAGCACTTAACTACAGCACTTTGGGGCCAGCCCTGTAGTATGTAAGTGGGTTTTTTTTTTTTTTTTTAAAGACGTGTTTGCTTTAGGGTGCGCGCACTCACTGGAGAGACAGACAGGTAGCAAGAAATCACCCGCCCCTGGGTGGTGGGGGGGGTGCAGATAGCCACACCACAATCCCTTTGCCATTCTCTTCTAGGGATTTTGGGCATGTATACACACGTGCCCGGTGTGAGTTTTAAACTACAGGGACTGGGACTTGAACCACGGTCAACTATGTGGGAGTCCAGTGACGTCACCATCATACCATCTGCTGGTTCCAGTATATAAACTTTTGAGTCTGCCTTTTTTTCTCCCAGCATAGCACATTGGATATCCATCCACACTGACTGTGTCGGTGTTGTGTTCTTGTTGCTGAGAGTTTTCCAGGGTTCAGATGGGTCCCTACCAGTTAGACTGCTGCATTTCAAGGATTTGCGGCAGAGTTCTCATGACTAGTAGAGTGAGGAACAGGTTTTACGTCTTTTAGGTGGAGAGCTGCTTACCTCCAACAGGAAGAAATGTTTACTAGGGAAAGGCGGTGGTAAATCTTGGCACTCTGGAACCAAAAACGAAACGACTGAGACCAGGAGCCAGCAGACCATGGCCCGTGAGCTAGATCTGCTCCACTGGCAGCTTTTGTAAACAAAGTTTTATTGGAACGCAGCTGCGCTCTTTCATTTCTTGATGTCTTTGGTGCTTTCAGGCTGTAGTGACAGGGTAGACCTACTTCCTGAGTTCTGTATGCAAATATTTTAAACCACCGCACGTGCCTGCGAGCCGTTTGAGCTGTTCTGCAGCTGCAGTAGGACCAGTGGCCATCGCGCGTCCATGCCCCCTCATTCCACGCGCTTTGTCGAACGTGGAGCTGAGCAGCAGTGACAGTGTCTGCAGAGGCACGTGTATGTAGAGGAAGCGGCTGTGACAGGAGGTGCACAGTTGGTGAGTCTAGGTGGAGTGTTTATGCCCATTTATTGTTATTGCAGCTATTCTGGGGGCTGGAAGTTTGTCACACTAAGAGAAAATGTTACAAGTGACCCAGCCGTGCCTCAGAGAGAAGAGGTAGGGTCAGGGATAGGAGGATGATTTTTAAAAAATTTCTATTTAAATGTTTTCTCTTAAAAATATAAATAATAAAACAGAAAGCTTTTGGAAATGCATTTTGTGTGTGACACTGTAGTGTACAATACATTGGCCCCAAATAATTGGAGAAAAGGGGCTGGCAGGTTGCATGGTGGTTAAGGTGCTGGGCTCCCACATGGCTGACTGTGGTTCGAGTCCCAAACCTGACAGCTTGCTTTCTTACTTTCTCTCCCTCTCTGTCTGTCTCTGGTAAAATAAAAAATAAATAATAACATAAAATTCAGTACTATCAATCTTTTAAAAAATCATTAAGTAAAAGTTGTTTCAGTATGTTTGACCTACTGTTTTGACATAGCTACAGAGTCCATTTTCCTTAGAATGCCCAGTGTTCTTCCTTTTGTTTTAGGATGGGAGCAAAGTATTTACAGCGTCGTGGATGGGAAGTAAGTATTTACAGCGGCGTGTGATAAAACTGCCAAAATGGGGGACCTCAACAGTAACCAAGCAATACAGATTGCACAGGTAACACCCCCTGCAAGAAGGCTGGGCAGGCTACTGCCCAGGGCCCTTTAATGATGGTAATTCTTTTTTTTTTTTTTTAGGAATTTTTTTTTTAAACTTTTTTTTTAAGGAATTATTTATTTAACTTTATTTATTCATTCATTCATTTTTAATTTGACTAGAGAGAGAGTGAGAAAATAAGCCACCAGGCCCAGGACTCGAACCATGGTTGGCCATGTGGTAGTGTCCAGCACCTTAGCCACCACGCCACCTGAGGTTCCCTAATGACGATAATCCCGTACTACAGAAAAACGTACAGTTTGACTAAAGTATGCCAGAGACCTCCAAAGCAGAAAATAACACCAGCTTCTCAACCCTGCTCATCTTGATAGCTTGTCTTCCATGTGTGCAGGTGGCACCATAAGGGGTAAGTGACGTTAGAGTCTACCAGCAGACAGTGGGACCATAGACAGTGTAATGGTTATGTTGTTGGACTCCCTCGTAGTCAACTATGGTTCGAGTCCCAGACCTGGAGGCTTAAAACTCACTCCGGGCACGTGTGTGTGTGTGCCCAATATCCTGAGAGGAGAAAGAAGAGACTGTGGCGTGCTCATCCCTTGGGGGGCGATTTCTCGCCTTCTGTCTCTCTCTCTGGTGAGTGCATGTGCTCTATAGCAAAAACCTCTCTGAAGGAAAAAAAAAAACAGAATCTACCTCAGACAAGTGTTCCAGGTGGTGCAAACGTGCCAGCATCCACGCGTGACTTGGCTTTTACCAGTGCCCTCGGCCCTCGTTCATTTGGCAGGTGTGTGTTGAGTGCCACTCTCTGCCGGGCACCATTCCTGGGGTCTAGGGACATGCAGTGAGAGGGCACTCCCCCGCGCCAGGAGCGCCTACCTGGAGACACCAGGCAGCTAGTCTTGTGCTACGGAGGGGTGAAGTAACCCGGACGAGAACCTGGAGCCCGTGGGTCCAGTCTGATCTGGGTTCAAGAAGACCTCGTGTAGTTTGAGATCCCTGAGCTCTGCACTAGAAACACCCGTGTCCCCTCTGGAAGTAGCCGTGGTAGAGGCCTCCGCTTGCTACTTCCAGTGTTCCCGTAGGGAGGGGCTTGCTTTGACTCTCAGATCCTTAATTGTGAATAAAAATCAGTCTGTTAGAAGGGAAGGCACACAGATACTCCTGTGTTGCGTGGAATATTGGAGCCACCGGCAAGTGCAGAAATACCCTTTGAGGCCCAGCCACGGTAGGGTGTGCTTTGATTGCTGCTTGGCAGGCTCACACCACCTGGAAGGCCTGGGTTTGACTCCCACCACTCGGAGGGTGTGGTGGTGTACACCTGCAGTCCTGGCTGCGGGGCTGACGAGGGAGACTGGGGGGTCTTAAGAAGATTGTGTGTGTGTGTGTGTGTGTGTGTGTCCATTTCTCCTTTAACCTCAGTGTGTACATCAGCCTCTTCTGTCAGGCTGCAGAACTGAAGCTGTTTGGTAGTATGCCATTGCACTCACCTGGATCCACTTTGTCTCTGTTTATTCGCTCCGGTTAAGACCATACATTGGATCAAAGCCCCGAACTACAGCTGCGTGATGACTGGGAGCTGGGATAAGACTCTGAAGGTATCACGCCTGCGGGGTTGGGCCCATTGCAGCCACCTCTGTTCTTACCTCTTTTACACTTCAGCTCGGAAGGGTCACTCACTGGCTCGCTTCTGCTTTCAGTTTTGGGATACCCGGTCGTCAAATCCGATGATGGTTTTGCAGCTCCCTGAAAGGTGTTACTGTGCTGACGTGGTAAGGAGTTCCAGCATAATACATGTTCTCATTTCTCATTTTGGTATCTTGTAATTAGTGGGTAATCTAAAAACCCGAGTCCAATAATAGATGTGAGGGGGAGTGTTCTGGTCGCCTCTGTCTCCCCAAGTCAGGCGGCCTAGTGCTCCGTTTGCTCCAGCAAACTGAACCCCAAGTGCCGGGTCTTTGGTGACTGTCTCCAAGTGGGATAGGAAATGAAGGACTTTGTCTACCTGCTCAGTGCTAAGTCTTAAAGTGTCCTTCCAGCTGCCCCAATAATTTCACTTTTAGAAATTTATTGTGAGAAAAGTAATCAAAGATGCAAATGGACTTTGTTTTATGTGATGCAGTGAAACCTTGGAAACAACCAGGTGGGCGCAGTGGACCGAGCCCTGCGGGGTGTTCGTTTGAGGGAACCGTAGCCACCGCCAGGCAGACAGTATGGGCTGATGTCATAAGGTGTGCTCTGAGTAGAGGATACGAGTTCCAGGAATGTACATACACTAACCTATAAGTACATGAATGGTGCTCAGCGAGAAAGACTGGAACAAGCAAGCCGCACCGCAGTGTTAGTGGTTATCACTGGAAGGGGCGGCGTAGGTGATTTTTCACTTCAGTACGTTTTCTAAATATCCATTCATTTTATATTTAGGGTTTTTATTGGGGGGGGTACACTTTTTTCCCATTTTTTTCCCCAGTAGGGCATGCATGCACTTGAGAAGGTGAGCACCATCCCCAGGGTCTGGTCATGTCACAGTCCTCTTCCTCCAGTCTTCCTGCATGTCCAGTCCTGGGCATCCATTCATGTGTTTGGCATGTTTCAGGCTGACCAGGCCAGAGATTCGAGCCGTGTGGGATCTGGCGCCTCATGAGCCGTGCTTTTCTGCTGCCCTTCAGAGCTGAGCCCAGTTTTGAACGCTAGTCTAGGAGGGGCTGGGTGGCGGGTCAGTGATAAATCAGAACTCTGCGAGGCAGCCTGCTTGGGGGTTCTGGCTTCGTGTCTGGAGACCTCCCTGAGAATGCCAGGCACACGCGTCCCCATGATGCAGGGCTGGCAGAAGCTGTAGGTGGATTGTAACATCCAGACTCCATTGGTGCTGCTCTCTGTAACACATGGGACAAATAAGTGGACTTAAAAAAACTAGGCTTAATTTTGTGACTAAAAAAATTGATGTAAGAAGATAGCACTTCTTCATCCGCAGTGTCTCTGCTCTCCTCTGTCTCCTAGATCTATCCCATGGCCGTCGTGGCCACTGCCGAGAGGGGCCTGATCGTTTATCAGTTAGAGAATCAGCCTTCTGAGTTCAGGAGGATAGAGTCTCCACTGAAGCACCAGGTGAGGCGGGGTCAAGTCAGTACCTGAGGACGTGGGTGGAGCGCCTGTCGCTTGTGGCTTGAAAAACACGTGAATATTTCCAAAGAGGGTGAATTTAAGAGTACAGATGCAGATACTTAGTGAGTAGATACTACCTGTCTATGTCCTTACCAAGCTTAGTCGGTCAGGAAGTTTTTCTCTTCAGCCTGCTCCTCTGCTTCCCACAGCCAGCCAGGCGGCTTCTCCTGAACGCCCAGACTCCCCTCCCTTAGCCATTGTCTCAGGACCAGATCACCTCTCGCTCGGAGAAGCATGGCTAGTGCCTGGGGATGTCCTCGTCTTGGCCTGCTGAGTCTCGTAATCTGCCGGGCCTGCAGCTCTTCCTGCCCTTCCACCCTCCCCTCCAGCCTTCTCGGGAGCCTTATGTGGTTGATCCCCTCTCCCTCGTGTCCTCCGTCTCTCCGGCCTCAGTCTGTCCCTCCTAGTACTTCGCTGTCAATGCAGAAGCATGCTCAGCTCATATTTTCTATGATTTTCTGTGCCAAAATGGTTCTCAACTTTTCTGTCAACCTAATAGTTCACCCTAGAACACGGGCTGCCCTGGACCCCATGTCCTCCGTCTTGCCTGGTCCCTCTTTCCC